GTTTGTTTGTGTCGGAAGGGGGTGGTGCTGCGGTACGTGACGGTAGCAGTGTGGTGCCGGGGCATCCATGGGCTGAACAACCGCAGCGAGGGAGCCCTCGGTAGTGTTGAATGCTGGAATTCGAAGACACTTAAGGGAAAAGAGTAGAAAGAGGAATCCCCAGGCTCAGCCCTGGGTGTTTGTGCTGGTTTAGCCTTGTTCATCTCTGCTTTTTACACCACTGAGCGGATTTGAGAGCAGTTGCTGGTGTTTGTCGGGATCCCAGAGGAATTTCCTTGGTTATGCTGTTGCTTGCTTGAGTTTTGCCTCTGTTTGTTTCTGGACTTTACCGCGATGCTCTGGAATGGGTCGTACAGGGCAGGGGTGCTCCTGGGACAGCGAAACCCCTCCCAAATGGTATAACCAACTTCTCTTATTGCAACAAATCCATCTGCGGTTGGCACCGTGCTGTTGGTGGTTGTGTATACACCCTGTAGAGCCAGCAAGGCTCCTGCAGCAACCCCTCCGTAAACCAGCTCAGAGCAGAGAATTTACTGGGTCGTAGAATTGGACTTAAAATCTGTCCCTTCCCTCAATGGTCCCTTGTCACCAGATAACCTGGACTCTCTAAAACCAGGTCATGTGAAGAGCAAGGGGAGGGGGAAGAATAAGTCGTGCTGCTCGTTCCTCCTTAGGGCATGATAGAGGATTTGCATAACAGAAGCTTGCAGAAACCTTTCTTGCTTTGCCCTTAAATTTGTTGCTGATACTGGAACCCAGAATATGTTTCTCTTCTATGAGCTGGAATACTCCTGACTGTTGTCTCGCTGTTGCAAGCTGATGTGCTACTGCTAGATTTGGTGTTTTCTCTTCTGGTGCTTGCACAAACTGTTGCTTTATGGCATGTTTCCCTCCTTACAACATGAAGGATGCTACATGCCTGGTTCATGCAGGCAGGAGTACAGACTTCCTTGTTGTTGCTCGCATTTCACAATTACTCACCGCTTGCAACATCTCAGACTGTAATGGACTGATCCTGCAACCCAGTGTACAAATACGTGTGTCTTTTGAGGAGCAAGCACAGCAAATGCCTTGCAGAAGAGCTGTGGACTGGAAATGGATGGTTAGGGTTAGATTGTTATGCTGGTAAATGCAGCTTGAAGTGGGGCTGCTTTAGAGTATTAAGTGGTTATTCAGTGCTTAATAATAGAGGTGATACATGAAGATTTTGACAAGAGTCATCCTGGAAGGAGCATTGAAGGTATCACAAAATAAAGCCCCTGGCTTGTGAAGCACTCTGTAGCTGTGCAGGAAAGAGAACCCAGTATGACTGTACAAAAGCCATCTGTGGAAAGGAGTAGCTCAGTCCATGCTGTATTGTCAGGGGCTAAAAGGGCTACAAGAAACCTGGAGACGGGCTTTGGACAAGGGCCTCTAGGGACAGGACAAGGGAAGTTCTTCACAGTGAGGGTGGTGAGGCACTGGAATAGGTTGCCCCAGGAACCTGTGAATGCTCCAGCCCTGGCGGTGTTCAAGGCCAGATTGGACAGAGCCTTGGGTGACATAGTTTAGTGTGTGGTGTCCCTGCTCTTGGGGTCTTGGAGCAACCTGCTCTAGTGGAAGGTGTCCCTGTCCGTGGCAGGGGTTGGAGCTGGAGGAGCTTTAAGGTCCCTTCCAACAAGAACCATTCTGTGGTTTTACGGAAATCAGACCTAGATGCTAAGAATAGCTTGCTGCGTGTCGTTTTAACCAGATGTGTAGGGGATTTGGGGATTCTCTCTGTTTCCTGGGAATCCTGTCAGTTGGATCCTCCCTGACAGCTCAGGGCAGTAATTGACCATTGACACTGCGCTGGAGGAGCTTTAAGGTCCCTTCCAACAAGAACCATTCTGTGGTTTTACGGAAATCAGACCTAGATGCTAAGAATAGCTTGCTGCGTGTCGTTTTAACCAGATGTGTAGGGGATTTGGGGATTCTCTCTGTTTCCTGGGAATCCTGTCAGTTGGATCCTCCCTGACAGCTCAGGGCAGTAATTGACCATTGACACTGCCTTACCACTGCAGTACCTTAGAATAGCCCATCTCATGATCCTGCTGACAGAACTCCAAGTCCCAGAGACACTGCAGGAAATCTTCACAACCACTGAGTGCCCGCTGCTCTCCATGGCTGCTTTCCAAAGAGGAGATCTGGCTTCTGTGACCTTCCAAAGGAAACACTTGGACCCGAGGGCAGTGATAAAGGAGTAAGTCCTTGCTAGTTGTGCCATAGAGGCCTCTGTAATCTGCAAGGACAGCACTGTAGAAATCAGAGTGCCAGGGATCTCAGTTTTAAGGGTGTAGATGTCGATCACTGGGCATGGATCCACAGGGATAATATCCAGCATGAGGACTAAATCATCATATGCTATGGCAAGCTGCTTTTCCTGCCTGTTTATTGCTCTGTCCTTGACTGGTTTCGGTCACTCTGGAGGTGGGATGCCTGCTGTGTCCTGCCTGGAGTTCAGTGGAAGGTCAAGAACTGTTCCAGATATGAAGTCAGTGAAAAGCAGCTGGTTTTGCTCAGCTATTTTCAGGCATCTCACTCGGGCAGAGGTGTCCAGTGTGTCACACACTTCACCTGTAAAACAGAGAGGAATCAGCAAGACTGGCCTTACTGCAACTGCATGTGAGTGTCTTCCCTCAGATGGGGCTCATGATTGGCTTGTCTTTGTGAATATAATTTGCATATTATTCATATTTCCAATTGTGCCATATCATAATAATAACATGTTCTAGACCAAAACTTTGGAGAGGAGATTAAAAAGCTCTCAAAGCCTGAAACAAATGTGCCTAAATCTCATGCTTAGAAAAAGCAGAATGGAGCAGACTGTGCTTGTGTGGTGCTCAGAAAGCCAACCCTCCCCCTTGCTGCATCTGTGAGTTGTTTGATTTCTATCCTATCCCATATGCAGGCATAATTTAATGCAGTATTTCTGAGATGCAGTTCACCTTTTGTGGAGTTCCAGATGATGACTTTGCTTTCTTACTGTAAAGCAAATGTTTGAAGCCCCTGGAGCCATTCAGCCCAGTTGCTTCCTTTGCTTTGAGAGATACCTAATTAGATCCTGCATGTTTTGGACTGTACTGGCTGTTTGCCTCTTTCTCTGGCAGGAGATGGTGCTCCAGTTGTGTGTTCTCTCTGGCTCCTGCTCACAGATGGGTAACAAGGCAGCTTTTAGGAGTTCAAATTTAAAACGTTTCAGAAATGCAATTCTGTTTCAGGCCTCAGGTGTGCACTGGCTTGAGGCTGCCCCTCTGAATTGGTAAAGTGCTCTCCATTCAGTGTCAAAAATACAAGGAGAACAGAAAGGCTCGAAGCAATAAAGAGAAGGGTCAATGGTCATCTTCTTTTCAGAAGTGTGGTAGTACTAGAAACAGGTTCAGAACTGCAAATCCAACCCCCAGACAAGTTGCTGGGGATCTGAATGACTCCTTTTCTGGTTCAGGGCTGTGTTCTGTGAGCTGATTTCTAAGAGATGCTTCTGAGTGGGAAGTTGCCGAGCTTTCCTTCCTCCCCACCTGAATAGATGCAGGCTGAGAACCAGTAACAGTGATGCTGTTGCCTGCAGAGATCACTGTGTGAACCACTCCTTCGTGTTCCAAATCTGCCTCCAGGAGCCTGTGGAATCCTGTTGGGTCTGCCAGGTACACTCACACATACTCCTCAAAGCCTAAACCAAGAAAATGTTACTCATTTAGTGAGCTGAGGGAGTCTCTAATCCCCTTCAACACCATCTCCTCACACATGTGCTTTAATTTCTGTACCTCTTTAAATGTAAATCCAAAGGGTAGCTTAGAACCTGTAAAACAATCATGCCAGCTTAAGTCCTTTTCACTTCTTACATCTCAGTTATTCCCTTGAGAAAGGGCTTCTGGTACACAATGTCCTGACTCTTCACAAAGAGATTTTCACCCAGTCTTTGTTACCTCCTTAAGCCCAATAGTTAAATAAGGCCAGGCTTAATGGGGAATTCCACATGGTGGCCCCTTTTGAAGGACACTTGCCATGCAGAGAGCAGCTCTTACCAACACTTCCCTAAGGAATGGGTGCTAGTGAACGTGCAGCAAGAATGGACTCATCTTCTGACACCATCACAAAGCAAACCTCTTCCAGGGAGCTTCTCAAGCAGACTGTTTCCATCAGAAGAGATCCACACCAAAATAAGGCAAGAGTAAGACAGGAAGGTAGGATAACTTAGCTGCCTCTCATGAAGGAAAAAGGATAGATTAGCAGTGAAATTTAATTTGGCTGCATGGTATTGGGCAAAGCTGTGAAGTGCAGCAGGATAGAAAGTGTTATGCTTGTCCATTTGGGAACTAGCATATGGGGGGGTGAGGAGGATGCTCTATTCGGAATGGAGAAGGCAGGCCCGTTGGTTACCAGATCTGTTGTCTGGCTCAGTAAACCTCTGGTTAAGAAAACACAAGAAATGCTGTGAGAAAGTTGAGCAGAGAGATGTGTACCATGGATAGAGATGGCCACTAAACCCACTGTCATCTTCCCTTGCTTATGGATCAGAGCACTGGACATTGGTGCTTCTTCCTGTAGCCCTGTAGGTGACATTTGGATCGCAGCTCACCAGTGTTGCTGTTTCACAGGCTCAGTGTTCCTCTTACAGACAGAGTCATGATCACCAGCCTTGGGCTCAGTGCTGCAGAGCACATCCATGCATCTGACACCTCTCCAGAAATCTGGAAGGTGAGTTCTGCTGTTTCCAGCTGCCAAGCATTGACCTAGTAAAGAGGTGGCAAAAGAGACAGGAGTAGCGAGGACTCAGGTAGCTTTTCTGTCTACAAGCTTCGTAATTGTGCCTGTCACTTCTGAAGTTCTCCTTCTTTCAGCCCATTTCAACATAAAGAGTGTTACATATTTGAGGAATTATATACAATCATGTCCCCCTCATCCATGTGAAGGTGATGTGAGGGCTGTTCTTCAGTGGGAGACTGCAGGCAGCTGGGAGGTGTCTGTTTGCCTACAGCTCAAGGATCACCAAGCTGGTAGAGCTCTTTTCAGACATGGAAAGAACTTGCCACCTATAAAATTGGACCATGCTCCTCAGAGTGCCCAGGAAGGGCATGCACCATCTCAAAACCTTCCCTATTCCAGACAAGCCTTGAGCTATCCTGGGAGCCGGTAGTCAGAACTAAGTGCCATCCCTGTGACACCTATAGTGACACACCAAGGGGAGAGGCTGTCCTGATAGCACAGACAGGAACGAGGCATTTTGAGGTTGTTGCTGTGCTGTTTCCCCAACTGGAACCCCGCTGTACTGTCTGAACCCCATAGTCTGCCCAGAGGAAGATTAGGTTCCCTCAGACATATCTAGGTCAGTGTGTGCTTTTGTTGTCCTGACGACAAAATGACCCACTTTATCCTCATTTGTTGAAGCAGAAGCGAATGGGAATGGTGCCTGGCTGAGCACAAAGGCAAAGGAGCTGGAGGAATCCTGCCTTGGTGCAAGCTCACAGGCAAAACTTGATTTCTACAGAAATCAATGTTCTCTCCTCCTTGTTCTCTTTCTTTATCATGTTTCTTGGATCTCATTCATAACAGATGGGTGATTAGATATATTTTAGAGCTGTATCTGGCCCCGGGACTAATCCTACCTTTGAGGAACCCGATGAGCGTTGTGTGTAGGGCCCAGCCTGGTGGTTGGAGAAATCCACACAGTGGGATGAGAGTAGGATGGGGACAGACACTGCACCAGCTCAGGTACTGTTGGCAGAGCTTCCCCATTATCTCTGGGGAAGAAGGCACAAAGAAAAGAACACTTTTCCTCTGGTGGAAGCATCTTGAGGGAAATCAGGTGCAACTTGCACAAATATTTAATTGGTGATTTATTTACCTGTGGCTTCGCTTATGCCCCCTGGGGCTGTGTGTTTATTCTCTTTGTTCAGCAACTTTCTCTTTCTAAACCCAAAACAACCTGAGGAAGCAACCTGGCACTTCTGCAGGTGTCTCAGGCTCCTCTCCTCTTCTGCAAGGCTTAAAGTTCTGGGTGTGGGTTTCTGTTGGGGGCTCTCACCAAAGCGCTTCAAGGAAGCTGAGGGAGGCTGTGCCGTGGGGACCTTTCAGGGGTTAGGAGGGATTGGAGGGATTGGAACAGGGCAGAAGCATGGAAGAGGCATCAGCCTGCAGTGTGACACCCCACTCTGTCCCTGGTGGGTGCTATGGCATTTTCATTTCTGGTTCTTTGCATGGGGAATTTGTATTTATTCCTTAGTTACTGAGGAATAAACCTCCGCAATATTGATGTATTGTGCAGGAAGTAAGCTTGGAACAAGAGCTTCTTGCCTTATGTGTATCTCCATCTGCCTCTTATATCTGCTTGTTAGTACATACAATATCCTGCTCTGAAGAGCCTCTGTGTTCAGGGCTGGACTTGTGTGTGTGTGCGTGCCAGGGCTCCTTTTGTCTTCTAGGGACTACAGCAGTTGCTGACATCTCAGCCCCATCAGCTAGCTGATTCCTGAAGCTACCCAGGCAGGGTCTTTGCTTTTGAACACCACCTTTACTTGTCCAGTGGACCTTCTGTGTGGACCATGCTCTGCAGGTCTCACTTTAGCCATAGGGGTTGGGTAAGCACTTGCAACGAAGGCAGGACCAGCTGATAGTTTCTGACAGGCTTCAGTTTCCTCCAGAGAGACCTGTGATCAGGGTCTACAAGCTCAGAAATACCCCATCTCACATCAATTGCCTGCAGAAAAAAGACAGTTTTAAAGGTTCTTAGTTGATACTATTGTAAAACCAGAAAGTTAAGTCATTCTATCGTGCTTAGTTTTTAGAGCAGGCTGAACACTAGTGATATGCAGGTTTCATTGCTGGAACTCTGCAAGGGACACGGAGATATTCAGAACCTCTCAGCAGGGATTTCTCCTGTGAAAGACTTAGAGATTTGGACCATGGATGACCAAGTCTTTCAGGACAAGGAACCTCAACACTGTGGGTTATTTGCAATATTTCAACCCTATCTTTATCATAGAAGAGAAAGATCCCCCACATTTCAATAGCCGCTTTTATACTAGAAGTTCTGTGTAAATTAGTCTAAATAGGACTAGTTCAACTACCTCTGAAGTATATTCAGACAATTTATACATGGAACTTGTTTTACAATTGAATATAGAAACAAAAGGATGATGTGAACCCTCAAGTCCAGGTGCTTGAGGATGATCAGCCACTTCACTGCATGGAAATCTCTAGAACTCGAGCATACAAAATACTTTATCCAAAAGTTGTAGGAAATCAGTACAGCAGGAGGCTTCTAAGCAGATAGAAAACCTATGAGCATTTGGGTGGGTTTTTTTCCTCCATCACATGTATTTTGATGACCTTTGGACAGGATAGAACAGGAAAGAAGTTGATTTACCTCCAGCATGAGGCCCTGCTTCTGACAGAAGGCCTGTGCTTCTGGCCTGTGCTTTCTGCAGGAGGGTCTCTCTTTCTGCATCCATGTCTGCATGGAAGTATTTGTGCAGCACACCACAAGTTAGGAATTTGGAGCCGGGACATCTAATTGTCGTTTTAGTGCTTGCACTGACAATGCAGCTTATGTTGCTATCTTCTAATCTGTGTCGAGTTTCATATAGATGCCATTGTGGTTAAGTCTTGTAGAACTGTGGTTTCCAAATCTCTGTAGGCTTGTGCCAAAGTTATTACATTACCCTTTTTTCAAGGTTCTGTTCTGGCTTGTCACACTGTGGTTTTATTTGCTAATATGAAAACTCTGGATCTGGAAAGTTTGGCTTGCTTAGTTCTAGAATACAATACAGCAGCATTGATCCAGAAACATGTATTTCTTGCCTCTTGCTGCGGCAAATCCTCCATCCTATTTTAAGAGCACTCAGCCACGCTGTTGGCCAGCTCAGCAGTGAGAAATACCCACAATGAAAGGCAATTCTACTCACAGGGAATCTTTTCATACAGAGTTAAGTCTGTGACATTTTTGTGGCCTCTTCCCCTGCTGTGCTTTTGCCAAGAGAGGTTGCCACTTTCTGGAAAAATCTTTGTGGTACCTTTTAAGTTCAATCAACAGACAAGGTAAACTGAAGATAAATTAAGAAGACAAAGCAAATAGGAAGAAGAGTTAGTGCATGGATGCACACAAACACCAACATGAGTGATCACTCCCAGCACCCGCATGCACTGCTCACTGATACACAGGTCTTAGGTTCATAGATACTTTTCACACCTGCACAATTAAAAGACACAGGGAATATAAAAAGGCATTTTTCTCTTTACATGTTTTTTATCATATGAGTTTATAATTTCTTCAGAACTGGAATATTCTCTTTATGTAAATTCATGTAAACATTTATGGCACCACATAATCATGTGATAAAGTGGTACAAGATGGGCTGCTAAAATTAGGATGGGGAATGGCTCTATCTGCAGCTTTCCTTGGGAAAAGTGATCACTAATGAAGTCTGTACCAGTGTCAGATGAGGAAAGAGCTCCCCTGGGTTAGGAGTTAGTGTGTCTGCAGTGCTGTCCAGCAGGCAGCAAGCACTCTCACCATAATACCCCTGGAATAATTCATTAGCTCTCACCAAGGGTGCAGCAGTTACAGGAAGTCCTTGTGTCACTTTACATGTCATGTATTCCACATGAATTCCAAACCCCACAGCGAGAGAGTGGGTTTCACTTAAAGCCTCATCTTTTGGTGAAAATCCAGTCCCATGGCACAGCCTCCATCCCAAAGCTATTCCTGGAAGTACATGAGGTCTGCCACAACTTGGACAGGTGCTGCAGGCAAAAATCTTACCACTGCATGCCCACTCATTTCAGCTTGTCTGCAGTTCTTGAGCATTCCTTCCAGAAACTGCAGCTCTGTTTGTGTCAGTGCTGACCTGCCTGCCGGAATGCCGGAACAAGCAGCGTATTCATCACGTTACATCCTACCAGAGGAGATGCTGCAGTGTTTTCTTTCTTTGCAAGGCACTTTTTGTGGAATCAGAGCCTATTGAGCCCCTGTTTTCTTCTTTAAAATGGAGACAGAGTGAATGATTTTCAGAAGAAGGGGAAACTGAGTTTTGTAATTCCTGAAAATCTGAGTCATTGCTGCTCACTGCCAGTTACCACTTTAGGAGCTCAGTCTGGCAACTGTGTCCCAGTGGGCAGAGCAAGTGGGAAATGTTTGGGTATTGTCCAAGAAGAGAAGTTCTTCACAAATACTTCTTGCTGTTACAGTGGTGGATGGGAATCAAATGTGTCTTGCCCAGGGTTTCAAAAAAGCCAGCAAACTGCTGTCTTGGTACACGCTGGCACTGCACCAAGTTATTATTGCACAGTAGTGCCTAAGACTGATTTGGCTTCACTGCAAAAGCCTAAACTAGTGCAGAATTCTGCTCTCTGACATGTCTGAAGTGCAAATTGGGTGTGACAGAATAAAGCTGTATCTAAACTGCAGCAGGTTATAGGCATCTTCACTTTCAAATGAAGCTCTAAGCTTACAGCCAAGACCAGTAGTCTGACCGCGTTGTAGACTCTAGCAGAGAGAGTGCCTGATGCATTCAGCAGCTTCAGGACTTTTCAGCTTATTTACCTGTAAAAGCTGAGCTGATGAAAGTTCAGACCAGGCTGAGGGGCAGGAAAGTAGGAGGAACCATCTTCCCACAGAGAAGATCCTGGCACGTGTCTGGACTGAAGCTCATGCTGCTGTCCAGGCTCCCTGAGCTCTCCTCAGCAGAGACTGCTGGTTAGAGGGGAGCTGACTTAAGGCAGTGAAAATCCAATCCCATGGCACATCCTCCATCCCAAAACCAGTCTGTGGTGCCTCTCTACAGAAAGCTGGTTTGCTCCCCTATTTGTAAGGAAAGCCTGGGAAAATTTCCACTGCTTTGAGAGGAACAGTAGGAAGTGGTTGACTGTCTGCTCTGAGATGTGTGAAACCCAGAGTGATCCATCTCTATTTGAAGAGGACAGATATCTCTATAGCAACCAGTGTTCGTCACTTGGGGAGTATCCCCTGGGTCTCCTTCTAAGGCACTAAATGTGCTCCCTCTCAGGTGCTGTACACCCGAGGTCCCTTTGATTACTGCTTTGACTAGTTCAGAAGTAACTGTCTCTATATTTTAGCATCATGCAAGCCTGATGGTACTAGTATCATTTAGGGTTGAGGTACTCCCAGCCATTTAAAGCAGGTTTCCTTATACCAGGGAGTATGCCTATGCCCTGTCAATATTTGCCTTCTGTGCAGCTGATTTACTAACAGCTGTTTAAACTGTGAATAATAAATACCTCCTCCTTTACAGGGATGTTTGGACTTGGGGCACCATCCCCAAAAGAGCAGCACCTGGGGAAAGATAGAAAAATACAACCACAAAACCCCAGCAAGTAGGTAGAAATCGAAAGGAGACAAGAAAAACAGACTTCCCAGGGGATACTCCAGCTGGCAGTAGAACTCCAGTGGCACAAGCTGTTTGGGTTTGCTCCTGGTTTTGTGTTGTATAGTGCAGGACAATACCCCTGACCCACCGAGGGGGTTGGTGCGTGCTGTGCTGCTGCAGAGCTCACCCTCCTGTCAGTTGTTGAGCTCAGAGGCAGGAAACGGCAGCGGTCAACAGAAAACAAGTAGAAAAAGAGCATCTTTGTCCAGATGCCCTTGGAATTCATGGGGAGAGAAGGTAACTGGTGCAGACATCTCAGCTGAAGCCCTGACAGAATAGGCGTCTCCACCTCATGCTCACAGAGCTTTTCAGTGTGTCCCTTCCATGCCAGTCTCTCTTCCAGTATTCACAGCACATTGCTATTCTCAGTTTGTTTCAATATGTGTTTCTGTATTTGTTCAGTAGAGCTTTTCCCATAAGAAATGCTGCTGTCTCCATGCCCTGTGGAAACAGAGATGGTGCTATACCAGCCAAGCAGATGCGCTCACTCAGAACCACTTTCTGCTTCCCCATTTTCTCACAGGAGACCATAATCTATTATTTCTGTGGCTTTTTTTGCCTTTTACAGGAAACTGAACTGAGCTTGTCAGAGAAAACCAGCAGCAGCCAGAGCAGCTGCTGGGGTTTTTCTGTTTCTCTCATGAAATGAGATTTAAGAGGCTGGTGTCTATCCCTGTCTGTATCCCCTCTGTATCTCACTGGCACACAGAGGAATAATTAAAGAAAACTTAGTAATCTGCATTTATGGGCTCCTTTGGCAGATAATACATGCTTAATCTCCAGTCATCTAGCCAAATAAGAAGAGATTAACCAACATCCTAATCTATCATAAATCAACCAGGCAGGGAGACAGCATCTTACCTTAAGAGACAAACATCACAGAGAGCCTCCATTAGGGTTTAGCCTACATTATTCTAAACCTAGTTTGAGCCAACGTTAGGGCTCTAAAGTCATGGATTTCTAGAGTGTTCTTCAAGGCACTGCAATCTGTGATGTGCTCTCTGCACCTCACGCTGCATCCCCCCATTGTTATTGCTGATCACACCAATTCTTGTCACTAGAGAAACAAAGAAAATGCTCTCACTCCTGGATTCAAGCAGTTGGTTGCGGTGGGACAACAAGTCCTCGACTAGCAGATCTTTTTTTGGAAAGGCAGGATCTGCCAGCTCGATAGAAAAGCACCAGGGGCTGGGATAGTGGGAAAAGCAGCAGCTTGGTTTCGGAGGAGCTTTCTGTAATTTGCAAATCCAAACCAAACCAAATCAACCACATCTTTTCCAGGGACATTCTGGATTTCCTCCGGCTATAAAAATGTTCAAGCCTCTAAACATACCAGACCTGTTTTCCTGCATTCCACAGCTAGAGCCTACCTGTAGCCTAAAGCCTAAGCCTCAATGTCTCTCTCACACTGATTCTTCCTAAAAGGTTACATTCAGGAGCTCTCTAAACAATTCCCTCCCCACACTCTCTTTTGGGACAATAAGGAAACAGAATCATGATCATGATACATGGTAAGGAAACAGATCATGATAGAAAATATTCTAAATTCTACTTTTTCTAGGGATAATGTGTAAGATGCAAATGCACAAGCGTGAGAGACCAGACCCAAAGATATTAATGAATGATGATCTTGGCACTGTCAGCATCTCCTTCTTGTCAGAAATGCCATCGTAGAGGTGAAGTGAGGAGCAGCTGTGACTCAGAGCAGGCTCTGGTGTGACGGGCAACTTGGTTTCTCACTGTCTGTCTGTTCCATGAGCCATCATCACCCCCCAGCAGCTTGCTCACAGGCTGCTGCCTTTACAGACCACACGAGAGCAGGATTAAACTCTTAGCTGGGAGGCAACTTCGTCTTGGTGTTTACCAAGTAAGAACCACACTGTTGGTGTCTGATGACATCCAAACCTCTTTAATGTGTGTGTCCATCCACTGTAAGGAAACACCAATCTCCTTGGGGCCAATGGCAAAAGCATCCTAAAGAGGCAGATACCAGCCTGCTGTGTATGGAGTGTTTGGCATCAACAGCCTGTTTTCTCCATTGCTGGTAGTTTGCTTTATCGTTGTTTTGTCTTCCTAGTAGAGATGGAAGAAGCTCCTACTAAATCCAAACGCCTTTGGGAGCTTTCTTGAATATCTTTTATAGGTGTTTATTCTGATTTCTCATTGTTTTGGCAAAGAACCAAAGTATCTTAAGAATAAATCTTGGCTGCAGCAAAAAAAACCAAAAAAAAAGCTGGGGATCTAAAGTCTTGGACATGCCATGCTATTCCAGCCTTTCCTTCCATATGATCCTGTTCTGTGTCTTGCAGTAGCCAGTTAGGTCCTTTAAAGAACAGCACAAGGACTGTAGACAATAACAGCTAAGGACCCAAAGAAAGATGTGCTGCTGCAAAATGCATTAAATTGTCATTTTTAATGCTTCTGTGTGTCCCGTGTGCTACTTGGACTGACACTCTCAGCACCAATCTAGTGCTTTATATCTCTGAAGCATCACACAGCCATGAAATAGGCTGCAGGAGGGAGGTGCAGATGTTTGGCAGCTGATCACCTGGCAAGTGTTAAAAGGAACAAGTTCCCTGTTGCTCAGGAGATGGCCAAGGTAACAATCATAGAATGGTTTGGGTTGGAAAGGACCTTAAGACCATCCAGTTCCAACCCCCTGCCGTGGGCAGGGACGCCTCACACTAGACCATGTCACCCAAGGCTCTGTCCAACCTGGCCTTGAACACTGCCAGGGATGGAGCATTTACTTTCTGGGTTTTTCTGCTTCTCTGGATTATAGAATTTGGTTACTCTGGACAAAATGTGGAAGAATGTACATACTGCCATTAATAGGAAAAGGGGAAAACAAGCACTGGTTGCTCTAGCTTGGCACTGGATTGTGTTGGCTCTGCCCTTTCTCACATGAGCTCTTCAGTATAGGACTTCTTTCCTTTGGCCTCTTGGTTTTTACTTCAGTTCATTTACTGTGAAGAATTAATGTTTTCTGTAAAATTCTCCTATGGGTTTGGGTTTTTTCCTCCAAACACAGTAAGGGCTGTAGAGCTTTCCCTATCTGTGAAGCTGATCTGCAGCGATGGAAGAGCTGGGGACCCTGGCTTTGGCTCTCTCTATGTAACAGAAAAGGGAAACCTGTCAGTCAGCAAGAAATGCTGAGAGCATCAAGTTAAACACTTTGCTTTTTCCATCAGGCAACCAGGGCCTCTTTGAGGATTAAACCTATTGCTAAATTTAGCTACCTCTCACTAGAGTTAGTATCAGAAGTTATCAGATCAGAACATCTTTGGAGGGAATGACATCTGTCCCATGGAAGTCTAAGCCCTGTATTGCAGCAGGATTTGGAGCTGGGAACATTCTGCACAGCAGGAAACTCTTGAGACATTTGAGGCTTTTTCAGTGCACTTGAAACACCTACTGTCCTCAGTGTGCTCCTTCATTGTTCTGTCCAGGTCCTGAGCACCATTTGGGGATGCCACTGGAGAGGAGAATGGTTAAACCATGTGAAACATTCTTATGCCTTCTTTTGTCTGGATTTATTTTAAATATGTATAAGGCTTCCACTGAACTTTTCCAGTGGTTGGATCATACAAAGACTATAAATCCCACACTCCAATGAAATTCTATTCTGAAGTCTCAGGAAGTCTCCTTGCATGACATCGCGACAAATACAGTGAAAGCAATGGGCCTTTTACCATGTTATTTCCATTTCTAACATGTTCAGGTGTGTTTGAGTTTCTCTTCGGTTAGAATCCCTTTGTCATCAGGTCAGGGAGACTTTCAGGAGATCAAGGAGCATGTAGCTTCTGACACTGGTGGGAGTAAAAGAAACACACACATTTCCTCAAGCGCCAGTGGACAATCAGTCACTTCACAATTTTTATTAGTTGGCAGCTTTTATAAAACAAAATTCCTCTTAATCAGACATCTCATAAAACATTTATAGTCTTGTGCATGCCAGTGATACATCAGGTTTCAATAGACCAGTATCTGCAGAACCAGACAGTTGAGTTGTCAGGTGGAATTCCCGTTTTCTACAGGGGGAGGGAAACTCACAAAATTAAGGCACTGTCAAAACCCAGCCCCACAAATCATTTCACCTTTGTCCTGGCTTTCAGCTGGTTGGATACAGTATTTATTTTTATTCACTTTTTTAATTAACCTTCAATTTCCATTTTGAACAGGGACACAAAACCCCCAAACCTGCTTTTCTTCAAGCCCTTCAATCCTATTTCTATTCCCAGTTGCAAAATGACAGCAGCAAAGCTTATTGCTAGGGATGGCAACATGCTGCCTAACTGAAAGCCCAGTGCTCTGTCCCCACATGTGCCATTCTCACTGCAGTGATCCCAACCCTTGGATGATGACACTTCCAAGAACAAAATGAGTGACAAGAACAGCTTAAAACTAGTCTAAAAGCCAGTATTCACTAAGCAGAACTGACAGGCTCCTCCCTGAGCCATGCAATGCATTACATCTTCTTCCCTCATTGGGCACAAGCTGTTTCCACAGACCAGTAGTTTGGCCAAAAGAGACCTACAAGGGATAATCTGTATCTCCAGCTATCAGTCCTTAAAGTAATTTCAATCAACTGGTGTGGAATCCACTTCTTCAGCCTTTATATCTTAACTTAAGAAGATATAAAGGGTGAAGAGCACACCAAAATCACGGCTTCAAGCACAAACCCGTATGTAGCTGTGGGCTTAGAAATCAACAATTCTCTATAGAAAGAAGCAACATTTTTAAAAGAGCCCCATTCAGGTCCATGAATAGGTGCCCTGGCAATTATAAATAAACAGTAATAAATACTTATTTACACTCACACACCCTTCTTGTATCCCACAAGATTACAAACAGACCAGAACCGTGCTTCTTCCTTAGTTCAGTGTGATCAGGGTTGAGGTGGGACACACTTAACACCATGCAGCAATGCTACAGAACAGTTTGGAATACTAACAGTACCAGTACATAGCACTCGGAGCATTTCACAGCTTCAAAGCTCTTGCAAACACAGACTTAGGTAAGAAAGTGACAATATTGTATCCATTATCAGAGGGACATTCAGTGAGAGAAACAAGAGTCAGTGTCCTTACTTCATATGAAATGTCATATTAATTGGAGATATGGCAGATGTGGCAGCTAGGGAAAATTAGATCAGGCTCATGTGAGACCATTTAATTTCATTGAGTGTGAAATCCAATTTCCACATTGATTGCATCTAAACAGTTTGTTCTTTTGGTAGACATCAAAAAGGTCAATGAAAACTCCAAGGGGCTTCAGAGTTGTGGGAGCACAATCCATCACCTCCATTCATAAATAAACACAGTGAAAGATTTTACATCAGCTGAACGAGCTGCATCGTAACTGCTGACAGCTTGAGAACTGGCACCCACTTATCATCCTGGCCCAAACCTACAGATCCCTGAAAATGTGATCAGAATAGAGACCAGCAGCAGCACAGAGAGCACAAATGACATTCAGGGACCTGCCTGGCAGTATCCTGGCTTCCACCTCTCCTGGAGTCTGAGGAGGATAAAGGAGGTCACAGGTGGTTTTGAGACTCAGTTCTGGAAGAATTTTCCTGGCCTATTTACTGTGTGGTTGCTTTTTTATTCAGCTTTTTTTACTTTCCGTTTCCTTGTGCCTTCATTTAGCTCTTCTTTTGACTTGGCAGGAGGTGGCGGAGGATGGGAAACCTCATGGGAGGCCCCGTGATGGTCGTGATGGTGACTGGTGTGTCCACTGGAGATGGAGCCAAAGAAAACCGGGCAGATGAAGCTTTCCACCGGAGCAAAAGGTGAGGCGTGAGAGTGAGTTGCCGTCATGAAAACCTGCCATGCAAAAGTGAATACTCAGAGATCACATACATCAGCTATGAAATATTAGCTAGGAAGGAGCATTACTCCAGGTAGAAGCCCCTATTGCTATGTGACTCAGCTGTAGCACAACGATTTTCTCCCCTACTTCTGATACGATGGAGAATTTAGCCTCTAATCTCCTGAGCACATTTCCTGGTATGTACAGCCAATGCCTTCAGCAGTGGCTTGGGAAGGTGGACACCTCCAGTTGGAGTGTGTCCCCTTTCTGTGGTTCTGTAGATTTGTTAGCAGTAAGCCTGCTGCAAACTTACCTTGCAAACTATCATGAACATGGTGAAAAAGAAGATGAGGTTGGCTTCAGAGATTGGGAGCCAGTGAGTCTGTTGCAGAGTGAAGAGGACTGTGCCATACAGACTAGCCTTTGTAGGACTAGAAGAGAAATAAGTTTTCTAGGTTTGCATCCAGTCCTGAATGGTTCTTTAAATGCCATTTTTAGGCTGACAGAGAATTTACAGGCTACCTACTTACAAGGACATACGAAGGATTTCATTTGTTTCTGGCTTCCAGACCCCACGGAGCAGTTGCTCAAAGTTAGACATCAAAGCAACACCAGAACCTGTGAAACAGTGAAAATGAACAACTAGAACTGCCCCAGCAGAGGAGAGCTCTGCTGCCTGTCTAGATCCCCAAGGGATGACAACCTAAGGGGAACAAAAGGTTCATGATATCCTTCCCAAGTTAGCCTAAAACAACAGAGCGGGGCAAATGCTTTCTTGATGTCCTATAAGGTGTTACCTGATGGAAAAAGCATTTGCGTCTGTTCCATTCACTGATGCTCAAATGCTTGCTCCAAACACAAGCTAAAGGAAAACTGACTGGGCTGTTCAACACTGATAGAACCCCCCTGAAAAGATATCAGTGAGGCCAGAGACAGTCAAACACATGAGAAAATAAGGAATTCCTGAATTCTACACCTGTATTTCATAGTGACTCAAGTTCTTCATGCCTCCAATAAAGTTAGATGATGACTCAACTGACAACCATTCTGCAAGGATGAATAAATACCTGTGCTCTAGGGAACATGATTGATGGAAGCCAGCTGACCACATCTATTAACTGCTGGCCAGCACTGGGTGACGTGGTCACCTTCAGCCTCACTCACAGATTCTCCCATCCTCCCCACAGGGGCTGGGTGCATTTAGAGTATCTCATCTTTCACCTTTGACCCATCCAATAGCCATCATGATGAACCAGCCATGGTGGTAGTGGTGGTGAGCGTGGTGGACCCCAGCTGCAATCTTGCGAACTCTGACCACCTCCTTCATTGCCACAAAGATGAGCTTCACTGGCAGAAAGCTGACACACTTGTAGAAGAGGTTCATGGGACAGAAGAATATCAAATACCTGGAACAAAACCACAAAGAATTTGAGGACCAACTTGTTTGTCCTGATTGGTGTAGAGAGAATTGAGGTATACTGTGGTGTTAGCCTGAATTATGTCAGGGAGAAGGAAATGCTGGTTCTGTCATGCAACCCATATGCAGTGAGGAAATGAAACGTGGAGTAACTGTGGTTAATTTGTGCACATTTCACTAACATGATGAATAAAATGCCCCCAGATTTCCAGCGTGTGCCACTCCTCTACTATATGTGGTATCTGTAGCGCGTGCTGCTTTTGGGGCAGCTATAAATGGAAATGCCCAGTGGTTGGACTAGACCCAACCTGTATTATCAAAGCAGCAGACAACAGTCAGAGAAACTGGAAACTAGATCTGGGAATACAAAAGACTCAAAGACTCCCTCACCCCACCTCTTCTTTCCCCACTTAATCCAAGGAAGGTTATACACGTGTGTCACACAGATAGGTTTGGACGCAGCCAGCAGCATCGCGTGCTTAATAAATGAGGTGAAGTGCAGAGACTCACCAGACTGCTGTGGCCAGGATGACACTGGAGTTATTACTGAAGTAATCAATAGGTGATTCTCCAAGCAACAGATCAGCAAGTATGTAGCTTCCAAAGCAGTGGAGCATAGCACAAAGCCAGGAGGCAAAAGGGCTCTTGCGAGACATCTCCACAGCTCCTGGGAAGCAAATGCTAAATGAGAAAGTAGATCCAGCAAGTAAGCAGAAATTCCAAGACCTCCTAAGAAAGAGGCTTGTGGTGCATGTTCTCCAACAAAATAAGTCCAAGAAAAGTGCTTGTAAAATAAAATACAAAGATGTGTATTTGGTGAAACCTGAACAAGTGCCAGGTATTATCAAGAGATCGCTGCTTGCAGGCCCCCCATGAGGTTTCAAGTGAACTGACTCATTGGAAGCTTATGATTTGACTAAGAGTTTATCTCCTGGATTTGCTGCTACTTACTGCAATCAGAAAGAACAATTTTCCCCTTGAAATCAATGTCTTTGTACAGTCTAAAAATAAGATATCCATTCTCTCCATTGCTTCAACCTAGGTGCCCTCTAGAATTCATGAGCAATCTGTTCAGCTCTCTCATTCATAAGATAACCTGTAAAAATAGAACAGTAGTTCTTAATCTTCATTTCAAAGAGGAGGATTTGAGGATTCTTCCCTGCTCCTGTACTAGTTTGGAAACACCCTCTGAAAATACAACTTGATATTAAACCAGTGTTACTATTTGGCGGTACATTATGTTCTCGTCCCACAAGCTTCTATTGATTTGTAATTTCTTTAATTCCTCCATTTTCAGCTACCTCTGTCCTTCTCCAAGGAAGTCTCCCAAGAACATCAATTCTGTAGGATTGTTTCATCACCTTAAATTGTTCTGGAGTCCATCGTGCAGCATTTCGGATACCAAGCTCTGTTCAGTAAACCAGTGGCAGGCAGTTAAAAGAAAGAATGCTAAAATTTCATGTCAACATTACTAACCTTAATTAGCAGCATGTGAATCAGCACAGGCTAAAACTATGACTGCTCTGACTCTTCCATCCTCAAAGACATTTGATCTAGCAGAAAACACAGTGGAAACGAGACAGCTGCAACAGCCATGACATGAAGCTGGTTCTATAGGAACCTGTAGTTTTAGCCTGAGGCTTAATTTAGTAACACTTGTTTTTCTTTGGCTCCGTGAAGCCGCGCTGTCTCCAAGGAGGAACCGGGACATTACTGCCCTGACACTGATCTTCAGCAGAGGATCCGTGGGATGAAGCAGTGTAGGAATCTAGTGAAACCAACACCCCAGCCTTATCCAGTCCAAGTGGATTACAGGACTTGCATAGTTGTAAAAGCTATTTTCATAAGGCTTGCCTGTTAAGTGGTCCGTTCAGGGCTTAATGCTGGCAGACAGCTGTAAGTGATCAGGCCTTGAAAACCCAGCATTTGTGTTTACATGGAACATAAATAGAATGTGGATCGAACAGCACAGACATCTCACAACCAGAGGATTTAAAAATCACACCAAAGTGTGTTGTTTGGGTGGGTTTTTTCTCCTCAGACATCAGACAGTTACACCGAGACCATTCAAAACAGCTTGAAAAGTGCACAAACTATCAAAAACCCACGGAGAACACGGCATTTGGGAAAAAGCAAGGTGCAGTCGGACTGCAGCAGGGCAGAAAGTGAAAGCTCAGATTACGGCATGGTCTGGCAGGTGGAAAAACCCCAAGGGTTTACTTACAGCCTTTTTGTATATAAATAGGAGGAGAGTATTGCCACAGAAATAGAGAAACCAAGCAGCTGGACAGAACCGTTACGCTAAATCCTGGGGTAGCAGCAAAAGAAGTGACTGAACTTATATAATTTACTGTGATTGGAATTCAGAATTAAATAAAAAGCAAGCCTGGCTTTCAAAATCACTGGTTCTTGGGGGTTTCTGCTTTATATTTAGACACGTTTGGCACCTCTGAAGCAGCAGCACAAGGCCCAGACACCCAGGGCCTGGCTGCAGTGACAGCACAGGCAGGCGGGATACTTCATGCCCCGAACCGTCCGGTTTATCCCTCGGGAAGCACGGCAGGAGCGATGCTGCTGTCGCCCCCAGCGCGCACGTACAGCCCCG